CACTCATGTGGAAACTGAAAAAAAAAGAGTTGAACTTTAAGACATATAGAGTAGGGCCAGCCCGTGGCTCACTTGGGAGAGTGTGGTGCTGATAACACCAAGGCCACAGGTTCAGATCCCTATATAGTGATGGCCGGTTCACTCACTGGCTGAGCGTGGTGCTGACAACACCAAGCCAAGGGTTAAGATTCCCTTACCGGTCATCTTTTTAAAAAAAAAAAAAAAAAAAAGTATAGAGTAGAATTGTGGTTACTAGAGGCTGGGAAGGGGAGAGGAGGGTGGGATAGGGAAAAGTTGTTTAATGGACATAAAATTACAGCTAGATAGGAAAATTAAGTTCTAGTGGTGTACAGTAGTACTAGGCATCTATAATTAAACTAGGCTTCTATAATTAAACAATAATTTATTTTATGTTTTCAAATGGCTAGAAAAGAGGAGCTCAAATGTTCTCATCACAAAGAAATAATAAAATTTTGTAATGAAGAATATGCTATTTACCCAGATTTGATCATCACACATTATATACATGTATTGAAACATAACTCTATACCCCATAAATATGTACAATCAATATGTGGCAATTAAAAAACAAATTAATTCCTTTAGAAAAAATGGGAAAAAACACAAATAGCTGAGTCTCAGCTAGTCTCACAGCAGCCACGCTTCAGTAGAACACAGGTAGTCAACTGCTCAAACAATGTTCAAATAAGGCAAATGCCCACCTGTAACCAATCTAGATGTTTCTGTACCTCACTTTTGTTTTCTGTATATCACTTTCCTTTTTCTGTCCATAAATGTTATGTGACCATGTGGCAGCCCCAGAGTTTATCTGACCCTGATTTGTGAATTGTTCTTTGCATAATTAAACTCTGCTAAAATTTAATTTGTCTAAAGTTTTTCTTTTAATAGTCTATTTATAAACTTTGTATAAATAGAATCATACAGTATATATTCTTTTGTGTCTGGCTTCTTTCTACATTATGTTTGTGAGATTCACCAATGTTGTTGCTCTTAATTGTAGTTCAGTCATTCTCATTTCTATGTAATAATCCATCATAAAAATATCACACTTTATTCTACTGTTGGTAGACATTTTGAAGTTTTCAATTTTTGGCTATTACCAATAATGCTGCTATGAACATTCTTGAACATGTCTCATTAACTATATGTATATTTTTGTTGCATATATGTTCATATAGGAGTGGAATTGCTGGGTTATAGGGTATTCCTATGTTCAGCTTAAGTAAATACTGCCAATCCATTTTCTAAAGTGTTTGTACCAATTTATATTCCTGCATTCAGTGCATGAGTTCCAGATGCTTCATGTTCTTACCAACACTTGGTATTTTCCATCTTCTGGTGGGTGTGTAGGAGATCACATAACAACTTGAATTTGCATTTCCCCGATGACTCATACAGTTGACTACCTTTCATAACGATTTTAAGCTATTTTGATATCCCCTTTTATGAAGTTTATATATTGTCCCATCTTGATAGTCTTTTTTCTTTAAGTCTGTTAGTTTTGTTTTATTTTTGGCACATTTAATTTTTCAATTTTTGTGTCTTAGAATCAATCAATATTTTCCTTTATAGTTTCAGATTTTGACTTATCCTTTAAAAATTCTTTCCCTAACATCAACACAAAAATCAACTCGAGACCTAAATGTAAAAGGTAAAATAACAAAGAATAAAAAAATAACAGAAGAATATCTTCATGACTTGAGGTAGGCAAAAATTTCATTTAAAGGGCACAAAGGCAGATCATTAAACTTTATTAAAATTAGAATTTTTTTTCACAGATTCACTCATTGAAAAATCTATGATTTTTTTGTTCAATAAAAAAAGACCATTAAAAGAATGAGCAGACACGGGCCGGCCCGGTGGTGCACTCAGTAGAGTGCGGCGCTTGGGAGTGTGGTGGCGCTCCCGCCGAGGGTTTGGGTTCGGATCCCATATAGAGACTGGTCCGCTCACTGGTTGAGCACGGTGTGGGCACGACACCAAGGGTTGCGATCCCGTTACCGGTCACGAAAAAAGACAAAAAGGAAAAAAAAAAAAAAAAAGAATGAGCAGACAGGCCACAGAGTGGAAGAAGGTACTGTCTTCTTTACATGTATTACAAGGGCCTTGATTCTCAACTATCTATATCTATCTAAACATAAAATCCTTACAAGTTAATAAGAAAAAGATAGTAACCCAACACAAAAACAAGCAAACCAGTTGAACAGACACTTCACACAAAAAAGGATATCCAAGTGGCAATAAGCATATGAAAAGATGCTCACCAAAGCAGTCTTTAGGTAAATAAATGCAAATTAAAACCATATATCCAGGGGCCGGCCCCCGTGACTCAGTGGGGACAGTGTGGTGCTGATAACACCAAGGCCACGGTTCGGATCCCATATAGGGATGGCCGGTTGCTCACTGGGTGAGTGTGGCGCTGACAACACCAAGTCAAGGGTTAAGATCCCCTTACCGGTCATCTTTTGAAAAACAAACAAACAAACAAAAAACCATATATCCAAGGAATGTAAACCAAGGCAGTCTGTTAACCACTCTTGCTCTATTTACTTGTATGCAAATTGGGGATATTAATGTCTATCCTTAGGAACTTACAGTCTGAGGAGAAATAAGTGAAACAACAGAAAACAGGTAATTATGTACTGAAACGGTGAATTATGTACCGAGAATCCAGAGCTAGAAACACAATGTCCATATTTTTTTTACCCCCAAATCAGCACAAATAGACTTACCAAAATATTCATAAGCCTTCCTTACAAGTTTTTTCTTGCTCTTTGTCATCTCCTCATTCCAGGTTAATCTGCTGCTGCCAGATTAACCCGTTGGGGGTCTCAGTTCATAAAGGGACACAGACCAGACACTTTATCTTGGTTCTATAAATCTGGCCCAACGCTTTCTCTCTGCATCCTTTAAAAGAGCTTAGCCCACCTCATCTACCATTGTCAATAACCTCACTCCCCCTAATAGCTACCACTTAGCTAAAAACACATTCTTACTTAATTCTTGTGACAAGCTCATCAGGCAAATATTATTTTCTCTCCTAAGAGATCGTTCCCATTTTACAGGAAATTGAGGCTCAGAGTGAATAAACCAGTTATTCGAGGTCACAAAAATGTTCAGTGACAAAGCTGGAATTTGAAGCCAAGTTTGTTCAACAATAAAAAACCACATTTTCGGTCACTGTGCCCCACTATCCTCATGAGCCGTCATCTTTGCGGACCCGAAAACGTGGGTCCCCGTGTGCCTCCTCACAAGGCATGCTGCTGGCACCTTGGCTCTCCCGTCTGAACGGGTCTCAGGTTTCGCACCGCACACCCCCACCCCCTCACTTTCGGAGGAAAAGCTCCTCAAAAGGAACTCGTTGAAAGGCGGGGTGGTGTGTGTAGAATTGGGGACTTTCACAGACCCCCGCCCCAACTCTCAGTGGATTTGACCTCTGGTGAGCGGAAGCCCCTCTCGCGAGTTGGCATCCCAGCCAAGCCTCTTCCCAGGGCTGGGGATCGTGTTCCCTCATCTCTGACCTAGCGCCCCCTGGCCGAAACACAGTCAGCATGAACCTGGGGCCAATCGGACCACCCTCTCCTCATTTCGCCCCGGACAATCTGACGTTCCAGGCTCCTTATGGAGCTGCTAGAAGGCGGGCCCGTATTTGCTGAAGGGGGAGGGGGCGGAGCCGGATGCCACCCACCCCAGCAAGATTCCTCCGGCCCCTACCTGGCAGAGCAAAAGGGATATGTTTGTATTCCAAACAGCTGGCGCCTATCGAAAATGACACGGAACTGCCCTCGACCTGGTTGGGCAGTTTCAGAGTAGGCATTAATCTGAGAGCGCAGAATGCGACCGGAGCCTGGGAGTCAGGAATCTCTCCTGTCCCCACAATCACAGTATAGTGCTCACCATGCACCAGACAAGTTCTAAAAGCGTTGCCTGCATTAACTCATTTAATCCTCATGGCAACCTCATGAAGTAGGTACTATTATTATCTATTTTACAGGCGAGGAAATACATGCAAACAGCAACTTGTAACTTGCCCAAGGACAACATCTAGTAACTACAGTCCTGATTCTCCACCTCTGAAACGGATGCAAATACCTGCCCTACACCTACATAAATAACACAAGTAGGCCGTCAACTCCTATGCATTGACAATGAATTAGAATTTCTTAATCTGGAACTATCACAACACTCTGTAAATTCTGCATATAAATCCTCCATGTTAATTTTTTCCCTTTCACCTTTTTGGGTGTAGGAGAGATCTTTCCAATGGGGACCTAGGCTTTGTGGTACAGAAAGTTCTGGAAAGGTTCAAAAGAAATTGGTAATCACAGCGGTATCTACAGGCAGGGAAACTGAGCGGCTGGGGTCTGAGGGTGGGAAATTTACTTTTCACTGTGCTTTTAAATAAAGTAGTTAAATTGAAAAACAAAAAGTCTTCGCAGTCATAGGTGACTGGCCAGGGCTTCTGCTTCAGAGACGGCGCGGATCAGCTGAGGCCTGGACAGGCAGGCACTGCCCTACCTTTTCTCAGATCACACCCCCGCCCCAGCAGGGCCCAGGGGACAGGGGCATCACTGCTGCAGTGACCGAGGGGCAAAGACGGCCCCCAGGATCACCACGAAGCCTCAGAGGGCTCAGGGTCCTTCCCCCGACCGCACCAGCGTGGACACTGTTAAGTGCGGAGGAAGAGAGAGAGGTCTCTCCTTGGCGCTGTGCCCACCATACCTCGCCCAGGGCGGGGCGCGGACCTGGCTGCAGGGAGCGCACTGACTCCGGTGGCCCCGCCTGGGCCGCGGGGAGAAAAGGCTGGTCTTCGCCCCGCCCCGCCCAATTTAAGAGCCCTTGCCGACAGCTGGGGCAGTTCCCAGCAACTGGGCTCCTTCGCTCCCTTTTCAGGGTCTTCTCTCTCGCCTCGCGCTCCCCACAGAGCTCCAGAGGCCCCCGGCTCTGCACCCTGCGCCCGTCCCGGCAAGGGCCGCGCCATGCCCAGCCCTGGGCCGCCCGCTCCCTCGGGCACTCGGATCCAGTCCCCGCGCTCAGGCGACTCTCCCGCGCTCCCGCGCCTCCCCGCGGGCTCAGGCTCGCCCCGCGCTCCCGGACGCCTCGAGTCCTTCTCCGTCGAGGCCATTCTGGCGAGGCCCGAGCCCCGGGCGCCGGCCTCCTCCCCGCGGTCAGGCTCCGCCTGCGCCGACCCGAGCCCCCGGACCGCTCTTTCCCTGTCTCCCGCCCCGGTTCTGCGCTGGGCGTGCCCGGCGACTTGGCTGCCCGCCTGCCTGAATGTAGGCGTCTACCCGCTGTGCCCTCAGCCCCCTATGCCGGGGCAGCGCATGGCACACTTCTGCGGCCTCCAGGGCCTCGGCGTCACAGGTACTGCGGGCCCGCGTGTGGGGTGTAATGGGCAAGGTACGGAGAGTGGAGGCCGCGACAGCTGGCACCCGGGTAGAGAAGTCTCTGAGTGTGAGAACTACACACACAGTTGGAGTGGGAAGGGGCCCTACGACCGTTGACCTTGCACTTGAAACTGAGGACCGAGACAGGGTCTCGCTGAGGAAGACCCCGGCACGCTGAGGTGTGAGAGGTGGGTGGGAGGGCAGGTGCAGAGCACGAGGTGCGGGTGAGCCAGACACCGGCTGGGAAGACTGCCAAGGCCAGTGCTGCGCTGCAAGGGGACCCAGCCCTGCTCCCGGTCTCCGCGTCCCCTGACTCCCTCCCACACCTCCTTTTGGGTCACGCTTGGTGGCCCTGATGCTAGGAGTGGTACGGTTCAGCGAGACGCTGGCAAATGGCCAGACCTTACTACCGCCTCCACTGCTCGTGTCTGTGAACTTGAGGTCTCCAGTTAATCGCTCTGAACCTGCGTTCTTAATAGCTCTTAGAATGGTACCGAGGCTCTTGGCACTTAAATCCCAGTGAGAATTTAACTGTTGAGGTAACTTTCTCCTCTAGCACGAACATCCACCTACACAAGCTTTCGCCATTTTATGGCTGCCGGGTTCATGCTTCCCCATGTCCCCGTGAGGAAAACGAGAGCAAAGTTAGTTCAAGCCTTATCAACCCAGACGGAGATGGAGATCGTTCTAGCACACTCTCGCCTGGTTCCCACTTGCAGGACACCGCTCACCCTGCATTTCCTCAACCCTTTTCTGCAGTGCATTAACTCCTGGGCTCCCAACCGATCCAGATTTACACCACTTTATCTGAGAGTCGTGTTCATAAAACCAAATCACCTTTCTCTGAGCTCTCCACACACCGGAGGTCTGAACTGCGGTTTTACTGCTTTATGTTACAGTTGTCTCATCTTCAAGTTAGTTTTGCATGGGTATTAACATCCACAGAATCCAAACTTCAAAATATATACTGAGATATGTGGAGAAGTTTCCTCTCCTGCTTCTGTCCCCTAGCCACCTACTTCTCAAGGTATTTTATGCATATTTAATACCTGAATATATATACTATATACACACATACATACCTATTCTTCCCCCCCACACACACACTGCTCTGCACCTTACTCTTTTCACTTGACCACCTGACCATATATCTTGGAGATTTTTCCAATCCATAAAGAGCTACAGCCACAGAGTAGTCCATTGTAAGAACACATCATAACTTATTTAATAAGGCCCCATTGATTGTTTCTCGTCGTTTGCTATTTTTTACAGTGCTGCAATGGATAACCCTGCACATAGGATATTCCAGTATAGCTAGAATTGTTGGGGTTGAAGGGTACATGCTCATATACTTTTGCCAGATTGCCCTCCACAAAGCTTGTATCCCTTTTGCCCTCCCACCAGTTGCATATAAGAGTGCCTCCTTTCCCAGCAAACTCACTAACACGATATTATCCAACTTATGAAACTTAGCCAATCTGAGAGAAGAAAAATGGTATCTCTGTGTTGGTTCCATGCGCATTTCTCTAACTATAAGTAAGATTGGGCATCTTTTCATATGTATTTCCTTTTCACTGAACTGTTTATGTACTTTGCCCATTTATCTAGTTAATAATTTAAAACAATCCATGGAGAAATTAGCCCTTTGACTGTAATGAGTTGCAAATATTTTTTTTCTCAGTTTACTGACATTTTAACTTTAATTAGGGGACTTTGATTGGAAAGACCTTCCCCACTCCAAGATCATAAAATAATTCTTCCTTTAGTTTCTTCTAGATTTTTGTGGGTTTACTTTCTACATTTAAATAGTTGTTGCAAGGTATGAGGTATAGATCCAGCTTAATTTTTCCCAGATCTGGAACTAATCCATCTGGAAATAATTCATCTCTTCCCCATTGCAATGTTTCTTGTGTTATAATTTTTTTTTTTTAAAGATGACCGGTAAGGGGATCTTAACCCTTGGCTTGGTGTTGTCAGCACCACACTCACCCAGTGAGCAAACCGGCCATCCCTATATGGGATCCGAACCCGTGGCCTTGGTGTTATCAGCACCGCACTCTCCCGAGTGAGCCACGGGCCGGCCCTTGTGTTATAATTTTTAAAATGACCACTGACTTCTCGTTCCGTGGCTGGCATAGTGCTGTGCACCTTGCAAACACCATGCTTTTAAATCCTTTTGACATCACTGGAAGTAGGGATTATCATCATTTTACATATGAGGAAATTAAGGCTCACAGAGGTATACTGACTTGCTCAAAGTCTTATGACTGGTAACTGGTGGCACAGCTAGGATTCCAACCAGATCTCTTAAGGAATACATGATACAGCATAATTTCTTCTCCAATAGCCATAACTACTTCGGATTCTGAAACAAGGCAGGAGAGATGCTTGCTGGGCTTTTCCTGGTCTTTTGGTCTTACCCTCAGGCAGGCACATGGTAAGCCTGGGCAGCCAGGACCCCAACCCCGCTCCCTTTGCTGGGGCAGTCATCAGCCAGCCCTGAGGCCTTCCCAAGGCCAGTAGGAGCTGAGTGGTCTCAGCACCACACTTGTCATTCCTCTTCCTAGGACAGTTTCCTCCCAGATAGCCCAATGTGAGCCCAATGGCTCACTCCCTCACCCCCTTCAAGCCCTGACTCACATACTGACTGCCCCCTGGTTGAGGCATCTCCACTGGCCCACCACTTGGTGAACTGAATAGCACTTTTGTGTCCCTTAGGAAAGGGTGTTCCCTCCTCCAGGCAGACACAGAACCTTATCAGGGGGGCAAGAATTAGCCTGCAGAAAGTGGGCAGAATTTCAGGCCCCACTCATCCTCCTAGCTGGGTATCTATGTATAAGGCACAAGCTGTTCATAGTGGCCCTGTTCAAGTGCCACTACAGTAAGTGGCCACCATTTCTAAATATGCAAACTACCCCCTCCCCCTGACACACATACACACTCACCCTGTCCCCCTCCTCCCTTTTTTTTTCTACTTAGCACTTATTGCTATCTGACATACTAAATATTTTACTTTTACCTTCTTTACCATCTGTTTCCTCACTTCTAAGATGTAGGTTCCATGAAGACATGGATTTTCTGGTGTGTCCTAAAACCATGTTTAAGGGCCGGCCTGTGGCTCACTTGGGAGAGTGCGGTGCTGATAACACCAAGGCCCCGGGTTCGGATCCCATATAGGGATGGCCGGTTCGCTCATTGGCTGAGCGTGGTGCTGACAACACCAAGACAAGGGTTAAGATCCCCTTACCGGTCATCTTTAAAAAAAAATAATAATAAAAAATAAAATAAAATAAAACCATGTTTAACACATAGTGGACATTCAAAAAGTATTTGTTGAATGAATGAATAGGTTGAACCCCTGGGGGTCCTTTCTCTGCCCATCCCATGGGGCTTCCTGAAGCAGTCAAGGAAAAGAGAGGCAAGGAGCGAGAAGGATTGGCAACTCCTATTATGAGCCAGAAGTTAAGCCACTTGGGTAGAGAGTAGTGGAGGCAGAAGGAGTCTCATAGCATTGAGACTCTTTTCTCATTTGTTTTCTGTTATTTATGCACAGTCTCTTCCCACTCTGCTTTTTTGCCATGTTAACTGGCCAAGGGGAAGGCAAGGTGTTGGAGCCATGTGTTCTCTTTCCTCCAAGATGGGTGGGCAGGTGGCTACTGGCTAACCTCCCCTGCTGATGGTTGCTCTTTAGGCTTGGAGCTGGCTCACTGCCCAGGCCTCTGGAGTCCGCCAGACTGGGCCCCAACCAAGCATCTTCAGGACACTGAGAGACACCAAAAGAGGATCCGAACTATGTTTAACTTGGAGCAGCTGGAAGAGTTGGAGAAAGTGTTTGCAAAACAGCACAATCTGGTGGGGAAGAAAAGAGCCCAGCTGGCAGCCCGGCTCAACCTTACAGAGAACCAGGTGGGAGCAGGGACTTGTGTGGGGACTGGGCTGCACCTGGTGACAGACACTACCTTGGGAAGGCCCTAAAGGGGTTGGAAGGAAAATATGGGCCTTCTTTCTCTGCACCAAGCTGTTGCGGAGACAGACCCTAACTTTTTGCACACCCCTTATATAATGAAAAAACAGTCCCATGTGAAGTCATATTATGGTAACTACACATGATTAATCTAGATTATTAAGCTAAAACTTTATAATAAAGTATTTCCATGCTAAATAAGGAGCTGTCCATGAGACTAAATATTTTTTTAAATAATAAATATTCTCTTGATGCCATATTCCCCTCCAGCTATTGTACCATTTCTCTGCTCCTTTCACAGGCAAACTTCTCAAGAACTTGCTACATTCACTCTTTCAGTGTTCTCACCTCCCATTTACTCAACTCATTCCAATATGACTTCTTTCTCTACCATTTCACCAAAACTTCTCAGCAAAGTCTCCGATGACCTCTATGCTGCCAAAGCCAACAGATGCTTTCCTTTCCTCAACTTACTCTGCACTCAGCAGCTCAGTACAGTCGAGCACTCCTTCCCTTATTGAAACACAGTCTTCTCTTGGCTTCCAGATACTGTGCTGTCTTAGTTTTTCTCTTAGTTCTTCTCTGGCCACTTGTGTCTCCTTGGCAGACTACTCTTCCCTTTCAGACATCAGAAATCTCTCCTTGGTTGTTCTCATCTAGTCCCATGGTTTAAAATACCAGCCATAAACCGATGACTCCCAAATGTGTATCCTCAGCTCAATCTTCTCTTCTGACTTGTACATTTAACCACCTTCTTGACATCTCCACTTAGATGTCTCATGGGCAGGCATTTCAAACTCAACAAGTCTGAACCTCAATTCTTGCTTTTTTCCTCCCCAGATCTGTTCATTTCCTCATACACAGCCCCACCATCTACCCAGTTGCTCAAAAAAAAAAAAAAAAAATCTAGACATCCTAGATTCCTCCTTCTCCCTCACTTCCAATCATCAGCAAGCCTTGTCACCTCTAGCTCCAGAATACAGCTGGAATCACTTCATTTGGCTCCATCACTCCTAGTTTATACTCCCCAGCTCTCACCGAGTCACTGCAACGGCCTCTTGGTGTCTCCCTGCTTCTGCTGTCATTCATTTCCACACAGCAGCCAGATGTGCAATGCACTTAAGATGTAAATAGGACTATGTTACATCCCACTTAAAAGTCTTCAAGGTGACACTCCTTACTTGTGGCCTTCAAGCTCCTGGGTGATCTGGCCCCCACTGACCTCCCTGCCCACCTTTCCTCTCTTTACTTTCCCCTCTCATTCTCAGCCATGCTTTCTTCCTTTGTGTCCTTAAACACTCCAAGTTTGATTCTTCCTAGAGCCTTCCTATAGGTTGCCTCCTGCCCTAGCTGGCTACTCTTTGTCCCCACCAGGCTGGCCTCTCCTCCTTTGAGCCTCAGGGAGGCTCCCTCTACCCAAACCCCTGTTCCTACCCCCATCTGTGTTTATATATTTCTTTGTTTGTTTAGTTCGTTACCAGTCTCCCTGCACTAGAGAGTGAGCTCCACTGAGGGCAGGGACCATGCCTCTATTGCTTACTGCTGTATCACCATCACCTAGGATGGGGCCTAGCACATAATAGGAGTTCAATAAATACTAGTTGCATAAATGAATGGTGACTGGAATTATGGGAAAGGGTGTTTTGGAGGAGATACTTCCCTCAGAAGGAAGATCTAATTTTTGGCCAGAAAGAGTGGGCACTCTGGGAATGGGGGAATAGTGGGAACTGCTGGTGACATTCTGATCTCTGCCCACTGCCCCCAATTATAGGTGAGGGTCTGGTTCCAAAACCGCAGGGTCAAGTATCAGAAGCAGCAAAAGCTGAAACTGCCAGTCACATCTGCTGGGGCTGCCTCTCCGGACGAGCCCTCTAGCAGCTCCAACATCAGCATCCAGAGTGAAGACACTGAGTCTGGACTGGACAGCTGAAGACTGGGACAGAGGCTCTAGCCAGGCCATTTGGGCTAGTTCTTCCTGGGGGCATCCACTGGACCTCTCTGCCCCACATCTCAACAAAGAACCTCCTCAGGGTCAAAGGGCACCAGAAGATTCTGAACTGTCAAGCAGGAGCCCCCTTTCCTATATCAACCCCTGTGAGCTGGAATAATGTAACAGTCAAAGCACCAACTTTGGCCTTCACTATGTCCTTAGCCAGCTTACTGGACTCCTGAGCCTTTTTTCTTCATCTATAAGATGGGTGTACTGATAACTTACCCGTTTTCTCCTTATGAGAAAAAAAATAGCTCACCAAACCCAAAACTGGTGTGTGGCAGCATATGCAATGCTACATTTGCTCACTTGCTTTGTTGCTTTCTTGCTTTCTGGTTTTCTTGCTCTCTTTCTCGCCCTTTCTGTACACGTGTATGTCTTAGCGTCTTTCTCTCTCGCATTCTCGCTTTCTCTCTCTCTTTCTTGTGTCCTTGTGTTCTTTCTTTCTTGCTGTTTTGCTCTTTTGTTTCTGGCTTTCTTTCTTGCTTTCTGGTTTTCTTGCTCTCTTTCTCGCCTTCTCGCATTCTCGCTTTCTCTCTCTCTTTCTTGTGTCCTTGTGTTCTTTCTTTCTTGCTGTTTTGCTCTTTTGTTTCTGGCTTTCTTTCTTGCTTTCTGGTTTTCTTGCTCTCTTTCTCGCCTTCTCGCATTCTCGCTTTCTCTCTCTCTTTCTTGTGTCCTTGTGTTCTTTCTTTCTTGCTGTTTTGCTCTTTTGTTTCTGGCTTTCTTTCTT